CGTTTGAGAGGGCGCCAAGACGGCACAAAAGCGTTTCAAAATTGGTCCAACATGGCTTTGAAGACCGCCCAAGAGGGCTTCATGACGGCCAAGATGCCTTCAAAAGGAGTCACACGAGGCACCCAGGAGGGGAAACAGGTGGGTTTGTTCGCATATTTTTGAAGGTTTTTCGTGTTTTCGCTGTTTCGTGTTTCCAGCGGTCCAAGACAGCCCACGACGCCCCAGAAATCAGCTCAAAACGGCCCACGAGGCACCCAAAGAGGGCGCCACAAGGGCGCAAGAAAGTCCCAAGACGGCCCAAGAGTGCCCAAACTCGGCCCAAGAAACGCCCAAGATTGCCCAAGAGGGCCCCAAGACGGCCCCAAGAGAGGGGCCCAAAACGGGGAACCCGAACCGACAATTCGAGCCTTCCGCCCCAAGAGGTTTCCAGGAGGCCCCAAGAGGCCCCTAACAGAGCCCACGAGGCCCCCTCGAGGCTCCACGAGGCCCCAAAGGGGCCCAAAATGACGCCCCACGAGCACATCAAACGGCCCCTAGGAAGCCTCCCACGAATTCCAAACGAACTTCCAAGATGCCTCTAACCCACAACCCAGGCACGGTGGCGGGATGGGCCGAAGGCCACTATCGGGAACGTGCACAGAGAAACCGAGATCTCCGCCCCAGGAGACCCCCAGGAGGGGTCAAGAGGTGCCCAAGAAGCTTGGCGACAGATCACCAGTCGACCGGTCGATGAGAGCGGAGGAGGAGGAATGAGGAATGTTGGGAAAGGAACGCGTTCCCATCTGACGAATGGACGGCGCTCGCGCGAGGCCATATCCCTGACGACCCGGCAAGGGGAAACACAGAGTGGCCTTCCCCGTCCCTGGCCGGGATTCGAGGTTTAGAAGCCTCGTGCGTGGCGTTCGTGGCGCTGGCACGACCCTCCCGGGTGAGAACTTCGCGCGCTGAGGACGAAGCATCGCGCCGCTGCGAGTTGAGGAATCAGAAGTGCGCACACAAACTGCGTGGGACTTGAGCGAGGACACCATTTCGCCTGTTCTCGCGCAGACTCGCTGGGGTTCCGAGAGCGACGCAGGCATTGTGACCACGCGGGGTGGCCACTTCCCAGCGAAATCTTTACAGAGCCAAGGCGAAGGCGACAGGGCAGGTCGACCGCTCGCGCGCGCGGCGCCACTTCCAACGGCTTGGCAAGGGAAAACCATGTGCCGCGCCGAGGCAAAAAGGCAACGTCTGGCGAAACCTGCGCGGCGCCGATTTCCGCCCGCGCTTCGACGGGCTGGCGAACGACAGATGTACGTTGCATCCGAGTGGAAGCCCAATTCGCACGACGAGAGAGCAATCTATATATATGTTTATATATGTATACATACATACATATATAGATATAAATAAATAAATCGGCCTGTCGCGCGGGATGCGAGCCGCGACCCTTCCCGCCGCGCGCGGCGCAACGTCGACGACCAAAAGTGCATGCTGATGTGGAGAACTGCTACTTTGTATTGGCTTCCGCTGATCGGAAGTGTTGGCCCAGATAGGGGCGCCATCGGTGGGTTACGTGGCTCTGGAGGGGGAGGACAAGGAGGAAAAAGACACGGAAGCAAAGGTGGAGGAGGAGTTGGATATCATGTGGAGGAAATGGGGGAATACGAGCAGGAGGCGCAGAGGGGCGGAACAGGAGCAGGTACAAGCAGGAGGTTGAAGGACAACACGAAGGAAATCAGAACGTGGAAGAGGGGGAAGTGGGGGGAGGGGGAGGATTTTCAGTGGGGAGGAGAGAAAGTGACGAGGAAGGACACACTGCGCAGAGGGAGAGAGGACACATACAAGGCTGGGATCACTACATATGTATATGGATAAAGAATGCCCTGCACATCTACATGCATATATAGATGCATGCATGCACATACATACATACATACATACATACATACATACATACATACATACATACAAACAAACAAACAAACAAACAAACACACAGACAGACAGACAGACAGACAAACAGACAGACAGACAGACAGACAGACAGACAGACAGACAGACAGACAGACAGACAGACATACATATGTGCATATATACACATAGTGGATACCGAATTATATGTATCATATGTAGAATGATAGAGAGACGTTCTACACACAAACGTGAAGAGACACAACGAAGGAACACCATCACCATATGGAGTAGGTGAGAAGGAACAGAGCGAGGATCATAACAGGAAGGAGGAACAGAAAGAAGAGGCGGGGCAGGACAAACAGAGAGTGAGAAGGAGGATGAAGGGAATGGGGAGGGGGAGGCGGAGGAGGGAACAGAGGAGGAGGAGGTGGATGGTGAAGAGGAGGAGGAGGAGGAGGAAACCATGGAGCACGAACAGCGTAGGAGTTGGTGAGACTGGCACGAGCAGGAGGAAGATCGGAGGGAGGACTCGGGCAGAAAGCGCGGGGCGCGGAGCCTGTTGTGTCTGGGAGCGTCGCAGCACGTTCAAAGCAGCGGCCACGAGGTTGCCGGTCTTCAGGAGTCCTCGGACGAGATCGTGACAAACATCGGTCCGCCATGGGGAGTTCTTAGCTGCGTTTCGTCTCGTCCGAGGAGGCTTTGGCAGCCGGGAGGGAGCGCAGTGCAGATCATCTCCTGGGGGCTGGCCCTGCCCAGGCGCGTTTGTTACACGCCGAGGTCAGGGTGGAAGGGGGAGGAGAACAAGCAGAATTCGAAGCGGAGGAAGAGGAGGATAATAAAGGGTGGCGGAGGAGTCGATTATGAGCCGATGAGGAGGCTGGGAGGGGCGCTTCCCCCATGGTAGGCCACCCATTGTCGGCAAGGCCTAGGCTTCCTCCGCGGTGCGCCACGAAGCCCTCCCGAGGGAGAGCGGCGCAGGGACGTCCCTGCGAACACACGACGCGCTTCCGGCGGGGACTGCGCAGGTTTTGTTTTGTTTGGTCTGTTTCTCTTTGTCTCTGTCGATCTGCACATTTGTAAACGCCTGGACGTATGCGTACATCTAAGTACATATCCGAGGTGTGTGGTGGGGGGGGGGGGGGGGGGGCGACGACTTTCGCCTCGGTTTCCTCCTGGTTTTCCTTCTCGTGCTCCTCCTCCTCCTCCTCCTCCTCCTCCTCCTCCTCTTTTCTCTTGGGTATGGAAATTTGGCCTCGGGGATTCGACGCGTCATCCTCCTCCTCCTCCTCCTCCTCCTCCTCCTCTCCTCCTCCTCCTCCTCCTCCTCCTCCTCCTCCTCCTCCTCCTCCTCTCCTTCTCCTCCTCCTCCTTCTCCTGCTCCTCCTTCTCCGCACGGCCATCGTGGTCCTGCTCCTGCGGGCTGGGTGCGTTATTCTTCCCCCCCATGCAGGCGCTTCTGTGCAATCGCGCGTTCTCTGTCGTTCTTTCGCAGGGCAATCGATCATTCAGCATGTGCAACCGCGACCTCTAATAACACGGTGATTTCATTGTCTACTGCAGGGCCTCATCTTTTGGGGGTGATCCCCAATCATGTGGGTGGTTTCGTCTGAGGCACCTGTAAGTCATACCCTTGCATCCCCAATGTTCTGGCACTCCTAACCTAGGTCCTCTCCCCAAGGATTAGGGGCATCTCTATTGCTTATCAATCGTTGGATGGGCCGAGCCTCTCCGTCCTCGCAGGGTCAACTTCGATCCCGTCGATCCAAGTCGATGTCGATCTCGGCTGGCTCGATCCGGTTCGATTCCGCATTTCCGACGATCCGATGCGTCCCGATGCCTGCGCGGCGCCGCTGTGCATCCTGGCGCGGCCGATCCGATCCGATCCGTTTCCGAGTCCGTGCCGATGCCCGATTCGGTGCCTGCTCCGATCCGATCCGATGTTGTCGATCCGGTGCCAGCCGCTCCAGCCCTGCCCCCGGGGCAGAGGCCGAGCTGCGGCCCCGACCTCCCCACGGGGCCCGCGGAGGCGCGGCGGGGTGTTGCCCCACGGCCGCTCCTCGGGGACGGGGGGGGGGGGCAGACTCGGCGCCTCGCGCCTCGCCCCCCGTGCCCACGGGTGCAGAACATGGGACTGAGCGCTGCCACGGGAAAGTTGGAGTTGCTGAAGAGCACGTGCGTGTGGGCTCTTGGGCTCGTCGTTGTCCTTCCCTCGCGTGCCCCTCCTGTCGTCGAGAGGGCCGGGCCCCGGAGTGCAGCGGGGGCGCTGGGCCGCAAGGGCCCATATGCCACAGCTTGTCACGCTCCTTGCAGGGGGGGGGGGGGGGGGGAAACACACAGACACAATTAGTCCTCGATTCCCCAGCAAATCTGGGAAAATATGGGAAGTGGGGGGAAGGCAGAAACCCAGAAGATATAGGAACATGTGGGGAATCTTTTTATTTGTGTGTATTGATTTGTGTGTCCTGGGGCCCCTTCATCCTTGCCCTGCCGAGACGGGGCAGCCGCTGGCCCACGGCTGGCCGCCCGTCCACTGAGGGCAGCCACACACCACCGTCTCCCTGGCCACGGCAAGCTTGGCCCCCAGAATAGTGCATACGTACATGAGGGCCCCTCGTCGCTGGGTCTAGGAGGTTACATACGCCCTGGGGCCCAGGACAGCTCTTGCCTGGGATGGCGGTGGTGTGCAGCTGCCTTCTCCGACCATCGGCTGCGAGATTCCACGATGGCTGGTCCAGCTCTTCCACTCGTCGGCAGAGCTCGAGCTGGAGGATCGAGGAGGAGATTCGAGGGGCCCCCGGAGGCCTCCGGGGGATCCAGAGGGGCGCCGCCCGGCTGCAGGCCTCGCAAATGGAGGTCCGAGCAGGTGGTGTCGGAGGATCGAGCCGCCTTGCCGATGCATCGGCGACGCGGCTCGCTGTGGAGCCCACGTTTCTCCAAGCCGACGTTGCCAGTGCATCGCGGATGCGTCGGTGATGTGTCGGCGATGAAGCGCCACCCCATCTGCTCGGACCCCATCTGGGAGGCCTCTACCGCCGCAGGTCCCGTCGTCATGGAGCGCATGCAGTGCACCTGGTCCTCCGCGCGCGCCCACGGCGCGGGCATCTTCGCCCTGCTGGCGCTCCGTCGCCGTGGTCGTCGTCGCCGTCGGCTGCGCGTCGTCGTCGCCGTCGGCGCCGGGCATGCAGGGCTGGACAGGAGGCAGGCATGCAGGGAGCGGGAGGCAGGGATGGCAGGGCGGCGCTGCACACCGGCGGGGGCGCGAGGGGAGCTCCGCACTTCCACGCAGCGCGGCCGTGGCAACCGTGGGCGGCGAGAGCGGGCCCTCCTCCGGGGAGCGGCGGCGAGAGGGCGCGACGGGAGCGGGGGTGGCGGGCAGGGGGGGAAGGACGGCAGGGACGCAGGAGGCGCCGGGGGCCTCGGCAGGAAGATCTCGACCCCCTCCCCAGGCACCCCCTGCCCTCTCGCCAGCCCGCCCCCATCTCATTCCTGCCTCCCCTCCACCTCCTCCTCCTCTGTCTCCTTGTTCTCCGGGCCCCTCTCCATATCCCCCTCCCTCTCGCCCCTTTCCCCCTCGCCCTCCCCTTCGGCTGCGCACTCCGAAGTCCAAATCTGGGTCTGTCGGCCGTCACTGACCGCTAGTTCACGAGAGACTGCTCACGAGATGGGAAATGGGTATTGCCACATCCCCTGCCCGAGACCTCGACATCGAAAGCACTCCGAGGACATGCTGCACGACCTCGACGAACTAATCATGTCGAATGTTGCACTCCGAGGACCAGCTGGACGACCTCGGCCCCCAGCGGTGCTGGACAAAATGTCTCAGCATTCGCCCAGGCGTTGCACACGACTTCGCCCTTCGTTCTCGGTGTGACCACGGGCCATGCAATCACTCTTCTTGCGCCTCCTCCCACGAGCACGCCTGCACCGGTGATTCCCCGAGCGCCTTCCAGAGCGGGGATGCGAATTCGCTGCGAAGTGGACCTTGACGGGCGCATCTTTCCGCATGGACATGGTGCATGCGTCCACTGCAGATGGTTGAGCTCTGATCTCTCCGCGATGTCTTGAGATTCTGGGCTAATATTCGCTCACGTCCAGAGCCACAAGCAAATCACACCCTGGCGGCAGAGGACCTAAACAGCATGGGAGACCAGACGGGCGACCAGAGTCGCCGATCTCGTGGCCCCAGTCTTGCCTGCGAGGCAGGTGCAGAAACCTTACGGACCAGCTGTTTTAGGGAACCGTGCTCCTGGCTTCCTCGAGAGCTCCAGCCCTGCTGCCCTCTGCGACAGGGCGGGCGCGCGAGGCTGAGCTCGCCCACAGCGCGCAGGAGCCCCCGGCGGCGGGTGGCGCGCATCGGACCCGCTGCCCCACACGAGGCGCGGGCAGAACCCCCCGGCCGGTCCACGTCGTGCGCGGGCGCGGTCGGCGCTGCGGGGCGGCGCGCCAGTCTCGGCCCGATTCGGAAGTCTGGATGGGGCATGAGCCGCGCGCTCGCCGCTCCGATTGCCGCCGACGCCGAACGCGCGTGTTCCCGCGCGCGCGTGCCCAGCATGTGAAGGCCCAGACACCGACGAAGCAGACGGCCTCGCTGAGCGAGGCCAGTCCGTCGCTGCAGGGCATTCTTTCGAAGGATCCTGGGAACTTCTGGGACTAACTATTTGGCTCTGACAGCTGTTTGAATGGGGGATTGCCTGTGGTGGAAAAGGCCACGTACAAACCTCTAAAAGGACATTCTTGCTGTATCGGGAGTTGTCGTTCTGCAAGTTTCCTCGGTCTTCTTCGTCGACCTGGACGCCGATGATACATACACCAGCGCCGACGGAGCCGACCAAACGGACCGTTGAGTTTAGCACGTGCTGATTTGGATGTGCATGACATGGTTGCACGCAGCGAGTCGGCATGGATGGCATGGCTCAGGGACGATCTGGATTGAACAAGATGGTGTATTGCACGGCGCTGATTGATGCTATGTTGGTGGCAAACGGCTCACCATGGCAGGTAGTATTGCACTCGCTCTGTACACGCACGACACAGTGGTGATTGCACGCACTCCCGAGCATTGGTCGGCACCGTCGCAACAGAGTGCCGGTTTGCCAGCGCTGCGGCCTGCCCACTCCGCCATATGCACCGAAGTCTTTCCGAGCAGCATTATCGGACCGTGGACAGGGAGGAAGAGGTGCAAGAGGAGGAGGACTGAGGAGGGGGCTGGACGAGGAAATGGGGAGCAGCGCGCCGCTACGCGGGTGAGTAGATTGTTGTGTCCTGTGTAAGTTGGGCCCCCTTTCTCGCTCCTGCATAGCTGCATCAGCTGTGTTGATTCGCCCGTTCCTCGACACTGCGCTTCCAGACAAAATGGGCTCATGTTGGATGTTTGCGCGACGCAAATGCAGACGGAGGAGGGGAGGGGGGGTGAAGGTTGAGGAAGAGGGGGTAGTAGAATGAGGAGAAGGACAAAGACAAGCAGAGGGGGGGAGGAGGAAGCGGTGTTAGAGGCGCGCTCTGCCAGGCGTCTTTGGCCGGCTTCCTCTTCTACTGAGCGCCCTGATAGTGGGGCGAGGCCAGAGCCAGACCCTAAGCGTCTCTATTTTCTCATCTCTCCTCCTCCCTCCTCCTCCTCCTCCTCCTCCTCCTCCTCCTCCTCCTTGTAATCCTGCCCCTCTACCTTCGCCCTCCTGTCCGCTGATGATCCTCTTCCCCCTTCTGCCACACCTGCTCACCATCATTGTTCCTTATCCTTCTCGTCTTCCTCGTCTCCCTACTCCGTTCTCAGCTCTCCTCGTCCTCTTCATCACCATCATCATCACCATCCATCCCCTCGTGCTCCTGATTCCTCATTCCTCACCACCCACCCTCCTCGTTCGCCGCTTTCACACGCCCCGCAGTCTTCCCCAGAACACCGATGTTCATCAGCATCAGTATCATCATCATCATCATCATCACCACCACCACCACCTTCATCATCATCATCATCATCATCAGTAGCATCATCATCATCATCACCATCATCATCATCTTCATCATCACTATCATCAGCATCATCATCAGCAGCATCACCATCATCAGCATCATCGTATTCGTCTTATTCTTCTTTTTCATCATCATAATCATCATCAAAATCATCACCACCATCACCATCATCATCACCATCAGCATCATCATCACCGTCATCGCCGCTTTCCTCGTCGTTCTCCTCAACATCCTTCTCCTCCTCCTTTCACAGAGAGAAGCAGCTTTTTGTCAACAACTACGGGAGCTCTCAAAACGACAGCGACAGCAACGGCGACAACACTTGGTGGCATGGCGAGAAGATGTGGCATCAGAATTTCTACAAGCTTATCAGCACGACCGCAAAGCAGAACTAGCAAGATCATCGAGGCTTTTATCGGCAAGAGGTACTGGACCTCGCAAGAGAAACTACAAAAGAGTTGTATCGGCACTCATTACGTCCACCGGCTTGCAGCAGAGATTCCAACTTTCATCTGGAGAAGGTGGCATGGGCGCAGAGCTGATTCCAAGTTGGGAGGCGCATGTAGATGATTATCTGTACGGCCTTGAAGGACTTGGAAAACAGTCTTTCAGCCCGCCATGGTCACAACAGGGACTGGACTGGGCTCGCGACAAACTCAAACTTACTGGACATCACTTCAGGACAGCACCGAAGCGGAAAGCGGCACCACCATGGCCTCTTCCTGTGGAATTATTTTGGATGCTATTTCATCCATATCGAAGACTTCGCGGCGATTTCGAGGGCTTGGGCACGAGCAGGCGGCACTTGACTTGAAAGGAATACGCACTTTTCTCAAAAAGCATGATGCACAATATGTATCGTATTAGTGAGATGCCATTGGCCTGGAACCTTTCGAATGAAGTAGCAATTACATGGAAACAAGTTCTACACGTACTTTGCCCGTCTGGAAAAGCATGTATTGCGAGTTGCATCTGTCCCACAACGCAACATACTGTGCCGTGATGAAAGATTGCCCCAGTTTGACGGGTCGGAAGAAGTGCATCCTTCGTCCGCAATGCGAGCGCACGTCTGTGCCGCGATGACAGATTGCCCCATTTTGACGGGTCGGCAGAAGTGCATCCTGCGCCCGCAATGCGAGCGCACGTCTGTGCCGTGATGACAGGTTGCCCCATTTTGACGGGTCGGCAAAAGTTCACCCTGCGTCCGCAATGTGAGCGCACGTCGCTAGTCACCCCGTTAGGGACGTGGAGCCTCGCTTTCGGGGCGGAGTTCGAACCTGGGCTGTCGGGGCGCGGTTCGAACCTGGATTTGGTTCCTTAAATTAAAATTTTATTACGCCAAACGGGATGGCGGTTCGAAAACGGCAAACCGCGTGGGACATCCTCACAAAATTGGCTCTCAAGACGGTTCGAACTCGGTTCGAAACAATAGAATGCGGTTCCAAACAAAAGCAGAATGAGCGTTTCGCGCGGGGCTTCCCTCAAAATACGGCGTTGGACCCAGTTCGAAACAAAAGGATGGCGGTTCGAAAACGGCAAACCGCGCGGGACATCCTCGCAAAATCTGCTGTCCTGATGGTTCGAACTCGGTTCGAAAGAAGGGGATGGCGGTTCGAAAACGGCAAACCGCGTGGGACATGAGCGTTTCGCGTGGGGCTTCCCTCAAAATACGCGTTGGACCCAGTTCGAAACAAAGGATGGCGGTTCGAAAACGGCAAACCGCGCGGGACATCCTCACAAAATCTGCTGTCCTGATGGTTCGAACTCGGTTCGAAAGAAGGGGATGACGGTTCGAAAACGGCAAACTGCGTGGGACATGAGCGTTTCGCGTGGGGCTTCCTTCAAAATGCGGCGTTGGACCCAGTTCGAAACAAAAGGATGGCGGTTCGAAAACGGCAAACCGCGCGGGACATCCTCACAAAATCTGCTGTCCTGATGGTTCGAACTCGGTTCGAAAGAAGGGGATGGCGGTTCGAAAACGGCAAACCGCGTGGGACACCCTCACACAAATTCTTGTTCTCACGGTTCCTACTCGGTTCGAAAGAAGGGGATAGCCATTACTTCGGCTATGCTAAAAAAGGGCAAAACTTTAATCACGCCCATGTAGAACCGAACTTTGCGCATGGATGTGTTGCAGCACGAAGAAGGGAAACCCCAATGATGGTACAGCAGTCACTTGGATGGCGACTCCGACGACTTGGACTCTCTTTCATACGCGACCACAAAGACGTGACGAACGCTTTCGGACGCACATTTTTCCTCACTTGCTGTTAGCAATGGCACGATCATGCGAGATCACGAAAACACGTGTTGGAAGGCATCGGTATCTCAACGCAGCAGTGTGTTTTCAAGGACCTGAAGGTATCATATTCGCAAAACCGGACGCCGAAGCGCTACAGGGCGACCCTTGGGCAGTGAAAGTATTTGCGCGAGACATCGGCATAGCTTTCCGCAACACACAAGAGCAGTACGCGGACACAGGTGGCGAGACAGCGCAATGGTGTGTTATTGATCTTCCGACGGGCGACGGCGACATAGAGCAGCTTGATATTGCATTTCACTGTTATGCTGATGATGCTACCAGAGTACATGCTTCCTCTGGCACTCACGCGGACACTGGCATTGCACTTAGCTCGAAGCCCCTCGCTTACGAACAGATCTTATCCGAGAATATGAAGCAGCATGACTACCGTATCAACTCTTCGAAGAACGAGAGTGCGGTGGCAGTCTTGGGCCCCGATTCGCAGTAACTCCAACTGGCAGGGCGGGCGCAAGATCGAGCACGGCTATTGGGAGGTATGTTGCGAGCGGGTTCAACATGTGCAAGTGAGCCCCCATGCAGATTGGAAGCAATCGACGCTGGGCTTGCAGCGATGGGAAGGCACTGGTATCAGGACCGCTTGCCGTGCACAGAAAAAAGAACCGTCTTCCTCAGTCGAATCCTAGGCCCAGCATTGTCAGGATTGGAGGCGTTCATTCCTACTCCTACTCAGCTTGAGAAGATCCAGACACGTATCTTGCTGTGCGCCAGGAAAGCCCTGAGGGGTGAGGCCGCCAAATCCACGGGTGCACACGCGGCTTCAATCCCGAATGATGATGCATTCAGATATTGGAGGATCGCCCCCCCCCCCCCAGAAATTGAATATCATGCCAGACGCATCAAATGGCATCAGTCTTGGGTGAGAGAGCCTCAAAAACACAAATCTGAATGGGGGGCCCTCTTGGGAACGATGAGAGTGGAGGAGGGGGAGGGACTCAGCATAATCAACGAGGAAGGGCAACTCTCGGAATGTGCTTGCCCCTGGGCCCGTCGATTCGTAGACGACATCGTCTCGCCCGAGGACCTAGGAGATGACGAGTGCGAAAAGATCCAGGAGTTTAACAAAATGCCCTTCCGCCTCTTCAACGCCCCCGAGCTCGTTGACTGGTTCACTCTCCTGGGTCCCAGGGTTATCAGAGCGAAATGGCTTGGCATCATGATCCCCCCTCCTGGCTATCACACCCCCTGCTCGAGCGACGTAGCCGACCAGCCTACTGTATCCACTATGTCAGCTGATTATCGATGCCCTGTTCACTTTTGTGGTCGAGCGTTTCATAGCAAGCGTCAGCCCCTCGTTCATCTTCAGAGCCATAATGGACTCAGGTCGGTTCTCGGACAAGCTATTTATTATAATCAATGCTTCGTCTGCGAGAGCCTCTTCGAATCTCGGAACTCGGCCTACAAGCATGCGTGCCAGAGCTTTAAGACAGGAGTGTGTGTGTGCATGCTCGAAGTTCGACTTGCCGGCCGAGCGCGAGCTCGACCTCCGAATGTCCGTTGTGCGAGGCCCAAACTGAATCGACACCAGCACTTCTCCTTCATAACAGACAGCACTTCACGCTCCTACCAGTCGTCGGCGATGGCGGAGGCAGCAGCAAATCCAGATTGGCCCATGAAGCCGCAGGACAAAAGAGGAGCGGACGGCAGCGGCGACCAGCCGAAGGACAAGAAGCTAGCCAAGCTACAGGAGGAAGTCATGAGCAGCCAGGAGGGCGCGGGCTCAGCGCTCGCGGCACTCATCACCATCCTGTGCCGCCTCGCCCTGCGCAACAGCAGAGAGCTGGCCGGGCTCATCGGCGCATGTTTCGTTTGCTATTTGGCCCCGCCCACTGCGGGCATGGCGGCGATCATTCAAGCGGCAGGCCAGGGCTACAACTCAAAGTGCAAAGAGAAAGGCAAGGACCACGGACTGGGCCCGCCGTGGCCGCATATCTTTCTTGGACTACTATACTACCTGGTCAAGGAAGCGGCAGGTGTTCCACTCAAAGCAAAGGCGACGTTGACACGTTATTGGAACATCGTGATGAAGTTACCGCAGCAGACAGCGCTACGCCATGTACAAGAGCACGTGAGGCTCCTGCGTCTGAGGGCATGCCATTTCGACAAGAAGCAGCACTCGGATCCACAGGTGTTCAAGTTGCAGTTCATGGTGGCTCCAGCTCAGCAGACGCGAGTACTACGCGAGGATGACAACCAGGAGCTTCTCACTCTGCACGAGGCGCTGTCGCAGGCAGCGGAGGCGCGGGGGGGCCAGTTCAAGCCAGGATCAGCGCCGCGAGGCGCGATGGAGAGGGACGCAGAGAAACTGTTGAACCGC